TCTGTTGGGTCAAGGTCTGTTATGTTTTCCTCTTTTTGCGAGAGAGAAAATTTTTGGAACCGATTTGCCAAGTCGTCCTGCATCTTTATGGCAGTAACAGAGAGGAGAAGCAGATTAAACAAGAAAAGGGACAAAGGTGAGCTTGCGGAGAGAGAGATTGAACACAGAGACGATGAGATCTAACCGGAAACCGGTAATAGTCGAGAAACTTCCACGCGGAAGAAAACCCTAACCGGAAACCGGTAATTCAGCATAAAATCTTTTCATTGTAACTTAATCTTGTATCGCTTCATAATTTAAAAAATATCCAAATTTTCTTATTCTTTAAAGCAACTTTCCCAAAATTTTGTAGGATACATTTTTACTAGTATTTGATCACGTGTATTTGCACAGATATAAAAACACGTTTTTGTTTGTATTTATTAATTAGACATGTATTTCTATCATATAAATTTTTTTACTTTTTCTTAAATTATTTTTATCATTCAAAATTAATTGAGATTTAAATTTTATTTTAACCACGCAACGTTTATATTAGTTACATGAATAAAATAGTTTATCTATTTGTGGCATATATTAAGAAAATTAACATAAAAAAAATATTGGTGTTTCAGATTTTTGAAGAAAAAAAAAATATATCAATCATATTTTTCTTTCAACAATGCAACCAAATATAGCAGTTACAGCTCTGAATGTGTCAACGAACTTTAACTTCCAACATTAAGCGTTACACATTTGAGTATTTTGTTATCAAATTTAGAATTAATTTAGTAACTGATTCAAAAAATAAATAATAAAAATATATATATTAAGGTGTAACGATTTTAGTAGATTAGTGAGTAATTAATTAAAAAAATGTAACTGAAATGAAAATAATTATTATTAAATGTTTTATTAAATGCATTAGCTAGTAATTATATATATATATAGATTTTTATATTTTTTTTATTTATTTTTTTGAAATTTTGAATATCCAATTTCATCCTTAACATCTATTTGCTATTACAAAGATTGCATCTTCCAATGTAGAATCCTTAAAATGTCACACTTCCTGAAGTCATCTTATGTGTTATGTCAGCTTAACAGCGAGAATATTTTTACATTGTCAGCCCATGGAAATAACTGATGGGACGAGGAGTTGCAAATACATGTATTTTTACTGTTGGTTGTTTATATACAACACTCCAATGCAACTTTTCAACTTCCTCTTACGTTGATCGATCGTCTATCAGACATTTTTTTCCCGTGAAAGGATTTCGTTATTAGCTTGGCGAGCATTTTTCATCGTCTACGCCTGCATATAATGAAGCATCACAACTCAAGTACAGAAAATAATTTAAGTAAAAAAAAAAGGTGGTGATTTAAGTTGATTAATATACCTGTTGGCTCATAAGTATTTCGACCGCAACATTCAAATCTCCATCAGCAGCTGATATTGCTACTTCTACCTGTGTCTGAACAAATACGAAAAAGAAAACAAATAAATAATATCCAGTAAGCATTACTAGTGCGTGTAAGTTTTTAACTTTTTATATATTTACCCTATCAAAGCCCATGGCTACAAGTTTCTGAATTTCACCTTCAGATGCAATGGAGGCCTACATCAAAATATGATTGTAAACTTATGTTTTTGTAAATAAAGCCAATCATAGGACATAATTAACCGATGTATTCTTTCTCGGTTATCTAAAACCTGATTGTTCTGTGTTCTTGTGGGTATCACTGAATTGCTTACTACAGCCGGCCTGAAATGCAGAAATATAAGAGGAAATGTAACAACAACTATGAAACTGGAAACTGTACGATATTAGATATACTGTAAAATTTTCTTCATTATACGAAAAAAAAAGTTGAAAAAGATCCCAGTATTATAGGTGCCCCTTCACATTTGTATTGTTTCTATGTTACAAACTGCAATTACAACCTAAACTTACAATTAACTAGAACAGTGGACCAGTTGTCTACGAGCGACTTTACATAATTTGTTTTTCTTTTTCCACAACGAAAAGTAAGGTAAGGAAGAAAGAAAGTAAATATAATGTTCTAATCAGAGAAACTATAATTAGCATTTGTGCTGTAAGTATTTGCACGAATTTTCATATTAGAGAAAAATGAAAGACTCGATGACTATACCTTCCATTAGAAATTGGGCTGTCAACATCATCTAAGAGTCTTGTTTGTAAAGTCGAATCAGAATTTGCATGTGAATCTGCTTGATTCGTGTTGGAACCGAGTGTTCTCCCTCGACCGGGAAATCTATCATCCTCTTCGGCTGTCTGAATTTCAAGAGCACTATCGTTAAATTTGCATAACTCCAACATTTTTCTTCTTCTTCTTCTCTCGCTTTATTGTAATATCATACGAGGCGTTTTAAGTGTTCTTTAGTTCTCGATTGCACTTTTCCTATTTATCTTTAAATTTGTCTACTGAAAAAGAATGGTCTGAAGTTATACCTGCGCAGGACTTTCTCTATGTGGCATCCAAGAAGAAAGATTACCCAAAATGTTTCCAGAAAGCAATCCACTTTAAAAAGAAATAACAATATCAGACTCGAACCAACATAACACAAAGACATGTAGATGAATTAAAATTTAAATCTAACTGAAAATGAAGATGTACCTTGGTGTGGTGCTTTGACTGGAATATGTGGGAATGTGAGCTGAGGGATTCCCAGTGCACACTATAAATTTAGGTCTCCTCACGCAAGTAGACTGCACCAATGTAAAATAATGAGTTTTGTTTAAGAATTGCAGGTCAAATTTAAAAAAAAATATAAAAATGCAATTTTGCAGAAAGGAAGAGTGGATAATGAATGCACTCAAATCTTTAACAGAATTGATTTTAAAAATAATCTGTGGACAAAAAATTGTCATCCATCATCCTCTGAGTGAACAAACTGGAGCAGAAGATGAGAGTTCGTAACTCATCGTGCACAAATAAACGTAAAGTTCAGACCACGGTTTGTGTAAACGGAGAGAGAAAATTATATACCCAAATAGAAACTCTTAAAGGACACTTACCATCCAGGAAGAAGACTCAATGGATGAATAGAAGGAAGTCCCAGGTATCAAGACGTTGAACAACCCGTATATATCTGGCGTAAATAGATATACATAGCATTTTAACACTAAATTAAACAGCAGAAAAAGATATTGGACACGAAAGGAATTTATCTGAGAAGAATTTTATTAACGTACATGCATATCCGGACAAAATACCAGATAGGTGTCCGAGCAATGAGACATTTGTCATCAGGAGCTGAAACACAGCTAGTAATATCCAAACATACCTGAAAGTTGTAAGGGACATGTTACACACAGATTTAAGGCAAATAATCCACACACACACACAAA